CCTATGCCAAGAATCTCATTTCACCATCTCAACCCTAATTAGGACCTTCTTGCACCACCCCTTGTTCTTCAATACCTTCAACTTTAAAAATACACCACCTACCTTCCAAAAGGAAGGCTTCCACTCCACCAACCTACAAACTTAGGAGAAATGTTTTTAAAGGCGTGGGTGGTGCATGTATGTCTAGAGGTGCACTTCCAAGCAAGGCACCCTCAAAATCCCTGGGGGCATATGCAGGAGTTGTTGCCTTCGAGGCAGACATCTCAGTTGCATGATGTGTACACCTCAAAAGCCTTTTGCACAAGGCATATGCCTCTGATACTACTCATGCATGCCTCAGACAGAAAGAAAGAAAGGAAAAAAAAAAAGAGAAAATAAAAAGGAAAGGGAAGGGAAGAGAAATAATATAGGAAGATCTATCACCCACTTAGGCTCCACAAACTCCACAACCCAGCTATGCTTTTGGTTATTCTTTATCCACCTTTTGTTCATGAATAAATCTGAACACTTTCAGATCTTCCCATGCACCATTGTACCTCCTAGAAGTCTACCATCCTATTTAATTCCTTAATTTCATATTATATTTTGATCATGCATTCCTGTAAACATCCATGCAAATTGACATACATTTTCAACAGGACAGAAACTGCACATTCCCCTTTTATCATCTCATTTTCTAAAATGAGATGGCAATCACATACACCCCAAATTACAATGTATCTACAGCCTGACTGATGTTGGACCTGTGGGGATCCTACAACTAATGGATCTAGTGGTGGGCTTTGTAGGGGAAAGGGAATTTGACTAATTATGGATGAATATAGGTGGAATGATACATAGTCAGCTTGCTCTCCACCAATGAATAATAGATTAGAAAGTAAGATAATAACTCTTTCTGTTAGAGAAACAACAAAAATGAACATCTAATGTAAAACCCTCCTAAATGGATATTCCATGCGTTCTTGAGGACACTTCCATAACATTTCCTTCTTATCTCCTAGGTTATTGGACATAAATGAACATCTAATGTAAAATATGAATGACATAGTTCAAACCAGACATTACTTAATAACAAAGACAACATTTCAAACACCTTTTTGCAGGTATATAATGTTAGAATTAAAAAAAAAAAGAATTATTTTAACAGTATATACTTTTCCATAGGTGTCCCCAAGTTCATGTTTTCTCATCTTTTTTTTTTTGATAAATAACATCAATTCCTTTAAAATAATGAATAGACACAAGAAGATCCCCTTAGAGGCGCAAGGAGCAGCCTCTCCAAACAGCAAATACACAAACTACAACAGAGATAACATGAATGTTGAAATTAAAACAAGAGTTATTGTGCCCAGAACAATGTTTCCCTATTTATCCCTTGTTTTGCGAAGACATCAGCAAAAGCATTAGCTGATCTCCCAACCCATTGTACTGTTATAGACATATTTCTTGTCAGCCATTTGAATTTCTTTAACTCATTTTTGTAGCCCCAAGTGACATCCTCCGGATTATTTAACCAGTCCACCACTGTCTTAGATTCTCCTTCAATCAGAAGCTGTTCCACGCCTACTTCTTTTGCAAGAAGTATTCCTTGTATTGCAGCTAACAGTTCTGCCTGGATAGAGTTCCCAACTCCTAAAGGGCCAGAGTAGATTAAGACAACATATCCAGCCTCATTCCTCAGTACACCTCCCATCCCAGAGGGACCCGGGTTACCCTGGCTACTCCCATCAAAATTCAGCTTCAAAGAATCAAGAGGAGGGGGGACCCAGCTAGTCACTACCCTTCCCTTGTAGGAGGAACAGTTTGCTACCAACTTCCAATCCTTCCAACAATCAATAA